CAGCCGGGCCGCGCCTCTGTACCCGGGCACTGCTGTGGGGACACTGGGTGCGGAAAACCGGGCGCCCGGACATGGGAGAGCCGCGGACCTGCTTCTAAAGGCGTGTGCTTCGCTCTGGAGTTTGCGGCGTGATCGGAGACCTGGAGGCCGAGGAGGAAGCTCTTCCCCCACCCCATCTGCCCCGGGATGTGGCGGCGCTCCTGGCCCCGGGGTCACGGCCGCCCTTAACTGGCCGGGCCGCGGGTGCCGGTGACCGGCTGCTGGGTGCGATCCCTAGGGAAGTCTCAGGGCTGCGGATGGGCCTGGGTCTCGGCCGCCACAGGGGTGGATCGGGTTACTGTGTGCACAGGGTGGCCAAGGAGGCAGCAGGTGTGCGGTCATCATCGGCCTGGCCAGAGTTCTGCGTAGCTGGATGGGGTGTGTGAGCGCGCGGGTGTACATGTGCCTGGGTGTGCGCGGGTGTACATCCACACCTGAGTGAGTGTGTGCGAGTACATGCTGTGAGCCCGTAGGACTGCGCGCGTGGGAGTGCATGTTTGCACATGTGTGTGCGTGTGGCCCTCCCTGTCCCTGGCTGCTCTCCCACCACTCACCTTCTGTAGGTCCTGGGCCTTCAGCCGCCCTTTGGTTCCAGTGTCCTTCATAGCCAGCTTAGCTTGACATTGCCTCTTTTGCACACTTTGGAGAGGGGAATGAATGGGGGAAATGGTGGCTTGGGCTCTTTCTTTGCCCAGCCTGTCACGAATCTGTGGGTACCCAGGGAGAGCTCTCAGCAGGCGCCCTGCTAGGGCTGTCCTGAAGCCGCAGACCGCCTGGCTGTGTATGGGCATCCCCATTCCATAGCAACACACACTCCCTCTCTTATTCATTTATTTGAAACCATTCTTCAAAGTGCAAATATTTTTACATAAAGACTGGCATTGGATGGACCTTAAAACACCCGCCACCCTTCCCCTCTGCCAGTGCCTAACAAATGTCTGCCTCAGCTCACACCTCAGGGAGCTTACACTTACCTGGAGGGGGGATTGGGCAGTGCATGGAAGTCTCCACAATCTCCTACCGGCAGAATTTCCCTTGTCCTGAGTACACTGCATGCTTGATAAATGGGGATCTCTACGTACTGCTAATTGTGTCCAGTGTAACATGAAAGGAGTGAGAGTTTTTCGAGTCTCTCACGTGGAGATAACCAGGGGCCCTCTTCTGTAAGTTCAAACAAATGGAAAAAAAGAAGAATGGCTGATGTTAAAGGATTCACTCTTAGGGAGTGCTTAGAAAGAGTAAGACCAGAACAGTGCTTAATGAGTCTCTTTTCATTGTGAAGAAAGAAACAACATTCTTTAAAATGACTAGTGTTTCTAGTTCCTCTAGCTGTGCATGGAATTCAGCACTCATCCTGCAGTATGTATGTCTCCAGGTAACACAGAGGGGTGGTCAAGTCCAGGCTATAGAGGCCAGATTGGGAGCTGAGACGAGCAACACACGAGTGGACCGAGTTTAAGACTGGCCATGGAACATGGTGGCAGTAACTCGCAACTGCCTGTCAGTCTCAGAGAGGGATGGAGAGGGAGGGGAGGGGCCGGGGCAAACTGGAGCAAACATGTCTGCCTTAAAAGGGACTCTTGGCACTGACTGGCCAGTGCATGGGGTGCTGCCATACAGTGGTGGGGCCCAGACCTGCCTAATTTTTAAAGGTAAAATGGAAATCTCAATATGTATATGGAGTTCCTTCAATTTAAAGGTGTCCCAGCAAAATAACCCTGAGAACAAATATTGGAAGGGTCAAAACAAATCGCCAGCCTCAAAGTCCTTCACTTTGCAACCCTTCAAGAACGTAGCACTCTTAACTTTGAGGTCAAAGTTTAGGAAAGCAATTTTGTCATCATTTGTTTAGATTCAGGGTCAGAAAACTCACTACTGCCCAAGAGCAAATCTGGCCAGCTGACTCATTTTGTAAATAAAGTTTTATTTGTTTGCAGATCGTCTGTGAATGCTTTCACGATGGCAGAGTTGAGTCACTGCAACAGAGACTGTGTGCCCTGCAAAGCCTAAACTATTTACCATCTGGCCCTTCACAGAAAAATTTTGCTGTAAATTATTTAGATCATTCACAGTTAGCACTTGTTTCCTTTCAGACAGAGGTTCTCATTACTTAGGAGGTCATTTTGAATATCAAGTAGATGTTCCAATAGAAAATAAAAAATGATTAAAAATAAAAACGAAGTGCTTCGCAAAGGATCGGTGAGAGTATCTCCTAGCGGCTGCCTGCTCTCCCATGCCCAGTGCCCTTTCAACATGAAAGGAGCCAGGGGCCTTTCTCATGTGGAAACAAACGGCATTTTAGATTATAAGGATGAAATTTTGTCATAACCCTTTTCTAAATTGCATAAACTTAACTAAAGCAATGCAAGTGGGCACATTACCTTGTATGTAAAACCACCATCCACACAACTGAAACAGAGAAGCATTGGATGTGTTTGTGCCCTATGAAGATTCTGTTTAGTCTGTAATTTTGTTCCTTCCTCATCTCACACACAGCTGAAACTAGTCAGGTTTCAAAGAAGTTAGCGTTGTATTGTGCATCAACACTTTTCTTTAGTGGCAAAAATTACAATGATTGTATGAAAAATTGTTGTAGTTCATATTCTTTTCTGAAAGATTAGAGTCGTTCTTTATTACTTTATACAAATTATAAGGACACAATGTCATTAAAACACCAACACAATAATGTCAAATAACTTTCCAGCTTGGAGGCCTATGAGTGGCTCTAGTCCTTCTTTGCAGATTGCAACTGAGAAAGCCAAGCCCCAGGAAGGTCAAGCAGGTCTGCTGACCCACCACAGGGCCAGAGCGCTCAGGCCTCATACACTCACTCCTTCCCAGCCCTGCTCTTGGCCCCTCTGCAATAAGATGATTTATAGACCGGAAGTAGTGAGGCGCTGCACTCTCTCCCGGCGCTGACAGTACCCCGACAATGTGAGAAAGTCACATGGTTAAAACACAAGAAAAGGATATTTTGACAGAAGAAATATGAAATGAATCACATAAAATGTAGACCTCACTATGAAGTTGGACTGAGTATAACTTTAGAAATCAGAGAGCGTTGGAAGACCTGTGCCTGGGGAATGGTTGGCAACACTTGACCCGGCCCCCTGTATTTCCACAAGATCCTGTGGCCAAGTTCTAACTGAACCTGAGCATCTCAGCTCCTCAGTGTTAATAGGATTAGAGTCCTTCCCTCCACGCGCCAAACACGTCCTCCAAATGCCTAGGCAGTAACGAGATCGCGTCAGCCCGCGGTTTATACGAAGATTCTGTTCGTGACTGCACTCTGGTCTCTGTCGTCCTCCCTTACTTTGAGACTGGACTGTTTTCAGTAAAAAGAAGAAAAGAAAATTGGAAACCAATGATGATCACAATATGGCATTTATAAGCTCCTTTCCTTTTACTATTTAACACAGAAAAATTTAGGTTAAATAGTAATAATGAATCTAATTATACAATAATTATGTATTTTTTTCTAATAATAAGTTAAACATTTGTTATTATTTTATTATTAAAGCTATTGGTATTTCATACTACCTCTTGCCATGAGGCCCCTCACTCTTCCTCAGTGCTGAAGCTGCACAGAGAAGGTCAGTCACTCAGACACCTCCAGAAATAAGTCTCAGCACTTTTTTGTGAAGACTTCTGGTCCATAATAACACTGGCTTCTGCCGAACATACTTTCTTCTAATGGGTACAAAGGCGGCATAATTGTCAGAGCCTGGTGTATCAGTTAGCTATCGATGCTTGAATGCGATCGTGTTTTGGCTTAATTTTTAGTTTGACTGT